AACAATAAAATGGTTTAATTTCAACGTGGCCTGAAGGTGGTATGGTGGTAGAAACTAAATATGGCACCTTAATATATTTACGCTCAGGTCTGCAGATCACTGTGAACGTTGGTGGTTATTGTCCTTACTTATTCTTGTCTCTCTTTTCACACTGAAAGTTTAAAAATCTATCGTTCTCACGCTCTCTTCTGAACATCGAGCAGTAAATAAGCTTTCTTTCCCACAGGAATATGCATTATTAGGGCTCAAGGGGGCAAAGTCAGGCTGACAACCCTTTATCATAATGAAAAAATTAAGGGTAAGTTGTAAGTCATACTTGAGGATGATTACGCAGAGTTATTTTCTTGGACATCTCACTAGATCAGGGTTTCTCAACCTTGGCAACTTTAAGGCGTGTGGGCTTCAACTCCCAGAATTCCCCAGACAAGCATATTCTGGGAGTTGAAGTCCACACGTCTTAAAGTTGCCAAGGTTGAGAAACCCTGCACTAGATTATTCTGATTTAATTTAATTATCCTGATTTAATTGCATCTCTGGCAGCAAATGAGAAGCAGCGCTAGGACAATCAACCATCTTTCTCTGCCAGCTGGCCTCCCTGCAGAACAGAAAAAGGTTCTGTGGGAAGCTCTGGGGTTTGTCACTAGGGAAGTGCATATAAGTGCAATCCTGAAGCTCTATTACCTCAGGTGGTTCCCAAACCCCTTGCTTGTAGCCCCCAGGATTTCTGCAGAAGTTACCACTGAATGAGGTGTGTGCAAAGATTTAATTCAGAGATTCCATCTGAATACAGTTCCATTGTATCTGGACTGGCATCAGGTTTCCCAATCAAACTGACAAATCCATTTAAAAATTGCCATATCATTGCTTGCCTCCGAATCAGTTGAGATGATTTAGGCACCCTCTGTACATGTGCAGCATATTTTCCTCTGAATCAATTCCAAAGTCTGACAGATTTGATTTCAGACATCCAAACCGAACAAACTGCAAATCTCAACTGAAATTAATTCAAACTGGATTTTGCCTTCACACATCCACATTCCTGAGCTGTACGTTTTCATCTAACAGATGGTGGAAATTATAAAGTACGTGGCCATAGGAAAGAGATGCAAGCGGGTAGATGCTGTGCTAGCAGAAAGAGGAAGGATCAAGCATCATAATCACTGATGATGCCCTTGATGTTGGGAGTTGGTGATCCTGATATGATTTACAAACCTCTGAATAAAACATGACTCCTAATTATTTCATAATAACTGAAAGTGCACTCTGAACTAATGATTCTTCCAATATGTCTGGATGCCATGAGATTCTGTCCAGCTTTGTTAATTTTTCTAAAACCATCTAGTTTGTAATACAATGAGGCTTACATGCAACAAATGAATGTCTATCCTGCATCGCCATATCCTGATATCATGATTCAAATCCTGTGATGTACGTACATATTTTCACCTTTCACTGGGGCGCAAGTACAAAGGGTGGGGACTGTGTTGTGAGATCACCATACGTGTTGCCGTTTCTTCATCATCATGGTTGGCAGCAGATGTCAATGAGGCTACATTTTGATATTCATAGGATATTACTGGATGGACCTGACTAAGGAATTCTGCCCAGTGTCAAGGTCTTGGAAAGTCAAATGATATTTTAAATGAACACTAAAACTGAGACAGTTAGCTAGTAGTTAGAACATCCTATTTAAATATCTCCCCAAGTAGTTGGAATATTCAGAGAGGGGGGTGAGATAGACAAATTAGTCATCAATAATCACATCGCATCTCCCATCTTCAGGGACATGCAGGCTATGTGACATGCACAGGTGAGTCAAGGGGATACAGCTCATATTCAAATTAGCACCAGTCAAAAATAAGCAGCAGTGGGCAGGAGGGGCGATAGGGGAGACACAAATATGACAGGACGTTTCTGAATGCTACCCAAGCCTATCTTGACACGCCCTCTCAACATCAGGATCTGGCCTTTTACGTTCGCAAAATCCAAGCACGAGTCCCCTGTGGTGTTCCCTGCTCTTCCCAAGGCATAGAAGGATCAACACCTTCTGTTCATGTTCCAGATGCTCGGCCTTCATCTTCAAAAATTCCCCAGCTAAAATGACCACTGCTGAGAACTGCAAGAACCGAAGCCCACATAACTGGACGGCACCGACATCTGCTTTAAAGAGCACAGCCGACTCCACCAAGGATAAAGGAGAAGATGAAAACAGAAAGGTCTTTTATCTCCTACGTTCCTGTTTCCTGAGATTTACTTGGATGAGATTTTTACTGGAAGAGGACGCTGTGAGATAACTACCACTGCCTCTATAAGCCTCCAAACCTAATAAAGCAAAAGTTAAAAGCAAAACAAAATAATGCTTACTACAATATTATTAAAAAAAATTTTTAATCCCTCAAATTGGGGGAATTTAAAACGGTTTGAAAGAAAACACCTTCTGGGATGTTTCTCCAATTCTCTAGTCTAGCCTATAACCCTGAGATTTCCTAGTGGTCTCCCTTCTAAGTACTAAACAGATTTGACTTGCTTGACTCTTTCTAGATTATTTAGACTCGACGAAAAAGGTTTTCCTTGGCACTAAAAATACATTAAAGTACACACCATACATCTGTTTTTAGATGAAGAGGATTCCACAGCTTGGGTATTACTTCTGAAAAGCAGTTTTCATTCCTAGCTGTTTGCCAAACACCCCTTGATGGAGTCCCAAGAAGGAGGGGTACAGGTAGCAATTTTGAGTGAGCAACCCTTTATGCGCTCCAGCCATGAAGAACCTTGAAGATCAAAATCATCATTCTAGCAATAGGCTTGGAACCAATAAAAATGGTAAAGTCTGTTCATAAAACCCAGTCCCAGTTCATAACGTTTTCATCATAATCTGGTCCAGCTGAAGTTTCTAGAGCAGTACAGTATGAGACTGACCCATGCACAAGGCATTGCAGGAATCAGAGTGTGTGAGCGTGTACCCCCCGAAGCAAGGCTTGCCTGTCCAGGTAGGTAAACTTGCAACTGGCAGCCAGGATGCATCGATTAGCACACAGAGCCTCAAACCAAAATCTTTAAGATGAACATCCAGCAAAATAGGGTTACTTTGGTGAGGATTAAATTTGGGGGAAAAAAATCAGAGATTTGTTTACAACTTCTGGGAAGTTCTACCAGGTTGTGATTCAGGTTTTATGGGTTACACCCCAACCTACATGATGATTATATGGTGTGGAGGAGGAAGACAGAAGCAACAGCCGCCTTTTCACCTCTCAGAGCAGAAGGCACCCGGAGGAATGGCTTCCCTGGCTGGCCTGATTGGGCCTCTCAGGATACATTTTTTTCCAGCTAAACATGACCAGTGTAAATGCTTCTAAAAAAAGAAAAGATAAATAATTACTTACATTATTCATTTGTTAGGTGTACATCCTGTCTTTCCTCCAGGAACACAAGGTAGCGCGCATGGCATCAACACCCATTTTATTTCCCCCAGAGCAACCCTGCGAGGTAGGCTGGGGTGAGTGGGAGTGACCGGCCCAAAGTCATCCAGTGAGTTCCTATGGCTGGGCATTACTCTTGAGAGGCAGCTAACAGGAATATAAACCCAAGGCACTTCAGCCCATCCCTCTAGACAGAGTGAATCCAAAAGCATCATTTCAAAAATGGCTAAGCTTAGGTCAGTCTGCAGCAGTATTGTCTGAAACCAGTGAGATTTCCTAGTGGCAAATATAGCTTCACGCAAGGCGAAAAAACCCCCAGGAATCAATGCATCAGCTTTTTTTTTTTTTTGGTCAAAATGCGAAGTTTATTAGCAAGCTAACAATAATATTGTGTTGTATAGTTTTTTAAATATTGTGTGTGTTTGTGTGTATCTTGTATTTTGTGTGTTTGTTTTTTTATATAGTTTTACTTGCCACCCTGAGTCACGTGTCCAAGATGGATAGTTATATAAATTGAAATAAAAAATACATAAATAAGAAGAATCAAGTATTTTAAAAAGCAAATGCCTACAAACACAACTAAAATTACATTGTTAGTTATGGGCAATTGCTCTTGTTGAAACAGTTATTGATAAAATTTGAATATTAAGTTCACAGCGGGATGCATCACATTTTTTATCAGGAAGATAGAAAGATTTTATACATACTCACAGACACACACATGCATAAGTTTAAATATATATAATATTAATAAGAATAATAGCTCTAATTTTGGCAAATCTTGTGATTTATGAAAACTATGAATGAATTTTGGTTTATGTTGTTACTGGATGTAAGAGTATCTTAAAATAAAAAATGAAAAAACAAAACACCTGGTCGTACCATAAATTAACATGCACGGAATTTCAGCCCTGTGGTGTAATGCATGTTTACTCCAAAATAAATCCTGCCATCTTCAATGATGCTTAACCCTCCAAAGTGTGTCTCAAATGGAAGCGCTATAAAGCATTCTTAAACAGATTTGGAACTCAGCCCCTTTTCTAATTAACAAAACTAATATTGTATCACTCCAGTGCATTTAAATTATAGGAATAATGATCATAAAGTATAGAAAAGTATAAAATCCAAAGGGTTGTCAGCGTCAACCAAGTTTACCATTTATTTTGGAACCGAATCTGACTGTTTTGGGTGATATAAAAACCTGTTAAAAGTGATGATGATGACGACGATGATCATCATCTACCCAAAGCCCCTATAAACACTCTTTGATTCGTGCCCGATCCCCGCTCGCCAAGAGAAGCAAAGGTACGGCCCGGGCCCCCCACCGCAGGGCCCCCAAGGCTACCAGGAGACTTTCCGGAGTGGCTGAGCTCCCACGGGAGGCACCTGAGCGGCTCCCTCGGCGAGGGAGAGACCCGGGGCGCCCCGGGGATCTCCCACGGCCGCCTGCCAGCCGGCCGAGTGGGCGGGCCAGGACCTGCCCCTGAGTTCCCTGCTGGGCTGTGCGCGGGGTGGTGCTCTTCTTGCGAGCGCCGGCGGCACCGAGGCTGCCGCACTGACTCCTCTTGACATTAACCGGAAGCGTGGGAGACTCCGTGCGCCCAGACGCCCGCGCCCGCCCCGCGAGCCAGCCCGGAGCAGAAGTCTCGCTCCTCCGAAGCGCACCTGGCCAAGCGAGACGAGCTCACTTGCGGGGACGGGGGCTGCTCGGTCGGCGGGCACCGCCAGTTGGGCGAATCTACAGGAAGGTAAGGCAGG